TATAAATAGCGGTTTTTATGTAAATAAGATTATGTTTGGATGGTAAAATGCCGTTCTTTTCACCTTTTGCCACATTTTTTTTAGACTTTCTATAATTTTAATTTGAAAGATTGGACAAATAAATGAATAATAATATGTATCTAAATACCGATATTTAGGTCTCCATATCACGATACGTATCACGCAACAAAAAATCGTGATATACCGGTATACCTATAAAATCGCAAGTTTCAAATTTAAGTGACTTACATTGAATTATAACTTTTACTATGATTATGGCAGTTATATCAGCTTTGGTACATAAATGTATACTATTAAACTGTAAATTTTTATGTATGTGAGCCTTCATTATAAAAAAAAAAGCAGATTTATTTATAAAATCCTCATTGATGAATGATGTGCGATTTAGGTTGGCTTGGCATGGGTAATTATAATTATCAACAGTGTTCTATCAAGCCTGACCAGTTAACCATTGTGCTAATCCTTGTAAAAACATCTACCAATTGTAGTCTAAATTACTTCTCTCATGTCGACACTGTTAATTACATGTAAAACAGTTTCTGTCCACTACCTATATTCCAAGCAATAATTATGCCTTATTTTGTTGACTAATTTAATGATTATTATTTTCAGAGGAAACATAGAGATATTTACACGAGAGAAAAAGATGATCAACCAAAAACATGGAAACATACATCCAAACTTCTTCAAAAACAAGTACAATTAATTCAAATGATCCGAACCAGCAGCAAATTTCTGAGGTTTCGATTTCCTTCATAGCAGGAAGTTTGACACCTCTTTCAGTTGTTGAAAATCCAGAATTCCGGTTGTTAATTGAACCATTGAATCCCAAATATAAGCTACCATCTCGTAAACATTTTTCTACAAAACTTCTTAAAAATTCTGGAAAGGTCAGCCAATATTCAAACTAAAATAAAGAACGAGTTACAATCTGTGAATAGTGTCTGTTCGACTATTGACCTCTGGTCAAATCGACAAATGAAGGGCTTTCTCGGTATAACAGGTCACTTTATATTGGATTGATGCATGGAATCAATCATGGTGTCATGTAAACGATTTAAAGGCCAACACTGTGCAGAAAACATGCGTCAAGAATACGAGGACGCAGTGGCATGCTATAATATAGCAGAAAAGATAACCAACATTGTGACAGACAATGCTTCAAATATGGCTAAGGCCTTTTAGTTTGCTCTGCCGGGATTTGAATGTGAGAAAGATACAACCTCGAAAGAAGACACATGTGAGTCAGACAATGAAGATGAAAATGATGATTCTAGTTTGGAGCCAGTGGAATTCGACTATGCTATTGATGATATCCCCAAGCATGGAAGAAGTTTTGCACACATCTTACAGCTAGTTGTCAAAGATGGGATGAAGGACGTTAGCCCGCATTTAAAAACAGTCATTGCAAAGGCTTCAAACATAGTGAAATATGTAAGGAAATCAATTAAAGCCAATGAAATCTTGGAAGATGAAAAGAGACTTCAAGCTAATAATGCAACTCGGTGGAATTCACAACTAACAATGATCCGTTCCATCCTTCAGATACCTGATACAAAACTTAATAAACTGGACACGACTCACTTAACTGGATATGAACGAAAATTATTGCAGGAACCCTGTTTTGTTCTTAAACCATTTGAAGATGCAACATTGATGGTGCAGCCCGAAAAAAATGTTTCTGGAAGTTTAGCCATCCCATTTATACTCGGCCTTGAGCACAAGCTTGCAGAACTTTCAACTATATTTATAGCAACAATATGGCGTCCACATTGTTATCTTCAATGACAAAGAGATTCACAGTAAACAAAGATGATGATGTTTATCAACTTTCTGCAGCACTGGATCCAAGATTTAAATTTCGGTGGTCGAAATCCCCTGCGGACATAGAAGAAAAGCTTCTTTCATATGCAAGAAGGCATGATTTAGCAAGTGAAACTTCTAGTGATAATGGATCTCCTCCAAGAAAAGTTAGTAAGCTTGATAACGGACTTTTCAGCTTTATGACACCTACAAAGCAGGTGAAGAAACGACATGTTTCTGGTGATACAGTGAAAATGGAAGTATCACAGTACCTGCTTGAGTGTTCTGACACTTTCCGGATTTTTGCGTTCCGTATTTTAGTTTTTTTGGTTTATACGCACTTAGGTAACGCTGCGTATACGATTAGCAGCATGGCATGGCTGCTCACGGTTTTGGCCGTCCTTTCCTTGTAACTGTTTAATTGCAACCGAGTGCGTGTTCCCATGGTGTAAGTAAATGTTGCTTGTGTTTTGTGTATATTGCGTATGCTCTCTATTCGGTCATAATTAATTTGTATAACAAGTTCTGTAATGTTTACATTATTTCCGGTGATGAAATTCGGACGTGCACTATCATTTCATAAATAGCCTAAGTCAGAATGCATGTATGTAAGATTATTAAGATATATGTAAGCAATTACGATGTTATCATTATAAGCATATTGTAATGTGTTGTTTATTTGTTTATTTTCAGTATTTTACCCTTTCATGTCTTGCTATAAATAAACAGAAAACTGTTTATTGTTTTATTCATTGGACCTGGCCAGATAAGGGTAACGTCTGCCCGTGTTCATGTGGCAGTGAGGCAGAACAGTAAAATAACCATCTACTCTACACCAGATGTTGCAGTTCCATATTCCATATGTATGGTTGCCGAACAGGAGCTCCAGGGTAGCGTGCTGACCAGCGTGACGACCCCTCCCTCAACCAACAGTTCCTCGTGCATGGACATGAACATTAGTGATTGCGCGTACCAAATGTCAGCAACTATTAAACTGTAGTACTCTTTGATATGCTGCCTGTATTTGTCATGCATTTTTATGATGAACATTCATGTGTGTACGCTGTTGTGTATAAACAGTGTGGTTGTTATATACATATACCCTTTGTCTGAAAATCTTTTGTAGTCGAATACTAGTACTGTCGTTTCTGAACATTTTATCATTTTGTGTATATTACGCAACAGTAGGGCTAGTTTAGGTAAATGTTTGGTTGCTGTCAAATGATTGAAATTCAACTTGTAATGTACTGTAGTAGGCATCTGTTTTATTTTGTGACTGCATGAAGTTAGCATGATTTTTTACATTTTTCATGCACTATACAATAGTGCTCTAGTTTTTGCATAGTATTGTGTATTCGAGTGACACAACTGATAAATTTATCGAGCTGAAACTGACAGTGTGAAATAAACAGTGTGTTTATGACGTAAAATAATATTGTGATTTGGTATTATTCAGCACATTGTTTGCATATATGTATCAATCATGAGTGACCAAAATGACGAAAATCAGTTAGGCGTTAAGCATGAGGATAATATTCTTCGTCACTCTGAGCGACAGAAAACTCTTACAGAAAAGGCATATTCGATATATGAATCCAAGATTCAGAAATTCACTACAACTTTTGATCGAATATGGAAGGACATAGAATTGGCCATTTTTGATTATAACTCTAAGGTGTCAGAAATTGAACCCCGTGTGTTACAGCAATATGATGATGATGTCGGCTGTCTTCGTCAAGAACTTACTGCATCATCTGGAACATTAGTCGAATATCTTATAAGGACCAATACACCAGAGAGTTCAGTAGAAAGGTCAAGACACTTAGATACCTTCATTAGAAGAAAAGGAATTGTTGATAGATTCTTAGCTGGGATTGCAGAGCGTATGTTAGAGGCAGTGGAAAACATATCGCATAGGATGGCATCCGAACATAATAGTCGCAGCAGCAAGAGGTCCGGAACTTCAACAAGTCCATCAGTCATACTGTTAGAGAAACAATTAAATGTGGAGAGACAGAAGACTGGATTAGAGTTCCTGAAGCATGAATTAACATTAGAAAAGAGAAAGTCACAACTTGAGTTGAATCTTCGTTTGTTAAAACAGGAGCAAGAAACTGCTGTCGCGGAAGCAGAAGTCAGAGTGGCAAGAGACTATATCACACCTCAAGAGTTCCATGTCAAAGAAGAGCGTCATTCACAAATTCCGAAGGATGAGATTGTGTCTCGTTTCCTATCATCACTTGACAGCCAGTCCTCAGAAGGATTTGTTAAACTGCCTCCGCCCAAGTTTATTTCAACTCCACATGAGCCTGTGCTTGAGGTCAAGGACACTGACCCTCCAAGGCCATCAGCTATGCCTGACCCGAATCCAGGCATTGGTGACTTCACTTCCTTTTTACTTAAAAAAGACTTGTTGACTTCACGATTCATGGCTTTCACTGACCAACCAGAAGCATACACAGCTTGGAAAACCAGCTTTCAAGGAATTCTGAAGGAACTGCGGGCAACACCAGGAGAGGAGTTGGATTTACTCATAAAGTGGCTAGGAGCAGAATCAAAGAAATTTGCCATGAGCATGAGAACAGCAAATCCAAAGGATCCACAGAAGGCTGTGCGACTGATATGGCAGCGCTTACAAGAACGCTACGGTAGCCCAGAACTTGTTGAAGCGACTTTAAAGTCTAAACTGGACAAGTTTCCATCTGTATCTATAAGTGACAGTAAAAAAACTGTATGAACTGGCTGATCTGTTGACCGAAATAGATGCAGTTAAGGAGGACCCTACCTATTCAACCCTCTTGTCATATTTCGACTCTTCCAGTGGAATCTTACCTGTTGTGAGAAAGCTCCCTGTGAACATTCAAGAAAAGTGGATTACAAGAGCTTCGGCCTTTAAGAGACATTCCGGACAACCACATCCTCCATTCAAGTATTTTGTGGACTTCATAATGGAGATGAGTCAAATCAGGAACGACCCTGGGCTATGTCTACAGGATCGGAGAAAGGAAAACATACCGGTACATCGCCCTGAGCGCAGAGTTATAAACAGAAAGACAGACCTTGAAGCTAGCAACAGTGAGAAATACAAGGACCATTTTGATCCTAGGAAAAAATGTCTAATTCATCCGAAGGATTTTCATGCCTTAAATAAGTGCAGAACTTTTAGCAAATAACCAATGAAAGAACGCACAGACATTCTTGTAAGGCACGGAATTTGTTTCAAGTGTTGCAATTCTATTGAGCACTTTTCAAGGAACTGTAATGAGAAAGTAACATGTTCAGTCTGTGCAAGTGATGCACATCCGTCGGCGCTTCATGTTGACCTTGGGAGCCCTCAAGGCGGGGAGAGAAGACAAGATCCAGAGACAAAAGCTACAGTAAATAACAAGTGTGCGCAGATTTGTGGTGGTATTCAAGGAGGAAAGTCGTGTTCAAAAACAATTCTGGTTAATGTGTATCCACAAGGAGAACCTAATAACTTTGTGAAAACTTACGCTTTGATTGATGATCAAAGTAATTGCTCATTAGCCAAAAGTGAACTCTTTGAGATGTTAAACATTAACTCTGAGACAAAGGATTATCAGTTACAAACATGTTCAGGAGTAAAAACTATGACCAGCAGGATTGCCAAAAATCTTGTTGTAACATCACTGGATGGACGCACAAAGCATTTGTTGCCCCCTATTGTGGAATGTGATCACATACCAAACAATCGTGACGAGATTGCAACGCCAGCCTTGGCAAGAAGGTTTCAACACCTTTCAGATATAGCTTGTCACATTCCTGAACTAGACTCTAAAGCAAAGATATTGCTTCTTATCGGCCGTGATTTGATTGTTGCACACCATGTCCATGACCAAAGAATTAGCCATAATGCTCCATATGCCCAGAAGTTGAGTCTTGGTTGGACGATCATTGGTGAGACATGCTTGAACAAGGTACACCTACCAGCGAAAGTTTCAGTGAACAAAACATACCTGCATGACAATTTTAGGCCTTCTATCTTGCAGCCCTGTAACAACTCACTCACTGTTAAGGATCCTTGCATCGACCAGGAACAGTTTTCCTCTGTGTTCGACAGAACGCCAAATGATGATAAGCCAGGACCTTCTCAGGAGGACATTGTTTTCCTCGATATTATGGAAAGTGAGTTCCATCGCAACCAAGTGGGAGAATGGACAGCTCCCCTCCCTTTTAAGCCTGGACGACCAAGACTTCCAAACAATTACACTCAAGCAGTCAAGAGAGCCAAAAATCTAGACTCCAATCTCAGGAAGAATCCTACAAAGATGGATCATGCCCTAACTTTCATGGAAGGGATCTTTAGCAAAGGACATGCTGAAATAGCCCCACCTTTACATTGTAAAGATGAGTGTTGGTACTTGCCAATATTTGCCATTTATCATCCTAAAAAGCCAGGAAAAATCAGGATGGTCTTTGACTCCTCAGCTTCCTACGATGGAATTTCATTGAACTTTGTTCTGTTATCTGGACCGGATTTGACCAATAACTTGTTCGGCGTGCTTCTTCGATTTCGCAAAGAGAGAGTCGCAGTCATGGCAGACATAGAACAAATGTTTTATTGTTTCCGTGTTATCATCAAAACTACTTGCGTTTTCCGTGGTACAAGAACAATGACCCATCAAATGAACTAATTGAATATAGAATGACTGTGCATGTTTTCGGCAACACGCCGTCGCCGTCTGTTGCAACATATGGCCTGAGACAATCTGTTGCTGATCATCCGGATCCTTAAATAAGAGAGTTAGTGCAAAGAAGTTTCTACGTGGATGATTTGTTGGTTTCAGTTCCAGTTGCGGAGCAAGCCGTCAAGCTTATCAGAAAGACTCAGGAAACCTTGATGGAAGGCGGGAAGCTCAGATTACACAAAGTAGTCTCCAACTCACAGGAAGTGATGAGTGCATTTGACGAAGGAGAAAGAGCTAAAGACTTGAAATACATTGATTTGCGACTGGATGAAGCACCCTTACAGAAGAGTCTAGGACTGACCTGGGACTTACAGACTGATTCCTTTAAGGTGGATGTGTCCCTTGAGCGGAAGCCATTTACAAAGCGTGGAATGCTGTCCACATTAAACAGCCTATATGACCCCATCGGTTTCATCAGTCCAGTAACGCTGAAAGGAAAGATATTGTTTCGTAAGGCCCTGACTTCACCGTCTGACTGGGACTATCCTCTTCCATCTGAGTTTGAGGACGAATGGCGGAATTGGTTTGATTCACTTGAGGAATTGGCCCACATTAGCATCCCTAGACCATATACATCGTCAGGCCTGCACGACGCTTCTGGAGTGGAAGTACACGTTTTCTGGGACGCCTCGGAGATTGCTGTCTCTGCAGTTGCTTACCTTAAGGTAGTTGAAATGGATCATACAGAAATTGGATTCGTGCTTGGGAAATCCAAGTTGGCCCCAGCACATCGACACACAGTTCCCCGACTAGAACTGTGCGCAGCCGTGCTCGCAAGTAAAATTGCAAACATAGTGACAGATAATTTAGACTCAAGGATTGACCATTTACAGTTCTATTCGGATAGTCGCATAGTATAAGGCTACCTGTACAATACCTCGAGACGATTTTATACCTATATGTCAAACAGGGTTCAGAAGGTACTTAAGTTCGCTCCAGCTAGTCACTGGACCTTTGTGCAGTCAGCAAAGAACCCAGCAGATATCGGGTCAAGGTCAATTTCAGGAAGAGACCTTCAAAGTAGTGAGTGGATCAAGGGACCTGATATACTCTCCAGTGTGCAAGGTGACAAGGAGGAATTTCATTTGGTTGATGCAGACCACGACAGTAATGTGAGGCCACAGCTGTCAACCCTTATGACTGTCACAAAGAGACCATTCGGGATTGAACGATTCCAGAGATTCTCCACCTGGAAGCCATTGGTCAATGCTATTAGCATTTTGAGATATGTCGTATTGGGTAGGCATGGAGTTCAGTGTGATCGGTTCTCATCACGTTTCCGTCGAACTACAGAGACATTCATTATAAAGTTGGTGCAGCAGGAGACCTTTCACCAGGAAATATCGAATCTTCAAGAAGGGAAGCTATTCCTAAGAACAGCTCTATTGTCAACCTTGACCCTTACCTGGATGATGATTCCATTCTTCGTGTTGGTGGACGCCTGCGTTCAGCAGAAATAGGACTCATTCGTCATATTTATGACGTCAGGTGTCGCTGGTGTACTAGAGGTGGTTACGTAAACGCTTTAATCACCGCGGCGCTTGTAACAATGTAAACAAATGGACGTGTTCTCGAACTTGGAGCTAAACGGAGGGGCTGAATCGATCTTTAATCGAGCTGTCACAGCCGGGAGAAAGGTTTATTCGAATCTTGGGTAATTATTGTTTGTAAATATTATACATTTATAGAAACTTTCTAAGAATTATCGAGTGTAACATGCCTGTATGACGAAGATAGTACAACGACAAAGCATTGAGTTTACAATCGACATTTTTGTAAATTGTCAGATGTATAATCACCTTTACCACTTACATAAACTCCAGATTCAAATGGAATTAGTATATGATATGAATGCTTTTGGCTATATGTTGTTATTTATTCCTTTTTACATGACAATCATCGCACAGCTAGGTTATAATGTAGGTCTGCACTGGTTACATGCATTTCGTTTTTGTTGTATAAAAGAGCAACGTCCCAAATGATTATCAAGGGTAATTAAGTGCAACGTAATATTCATTGCAAGGCAAATACAAACTAAACATTCATTTTATTTGAACAGATCGCAAAAATAATAATAAATAAAACTGAAACAAACACAAACATCTGACACATTTCAACCCTCACCAAAAGACTCTCCAGAACTTGCAGAGATACATTAAATGGTCATTCATTGATATTGGATAAAGATAAATGATTTCGGATCAGCCTCATATTGTTTGGGTTTTTTTATTATTAAAAAATTAAAAAATGAGACTGGTACTTTTACTTTGATGTAAGTTGCCAACATTTCGCTGTGGTTAGAGTGTCTGCCCTTTCTACAGTCACCAAAGCTAAAAACTGAACCTAATGTCGCATGTTCAAATCCACTGCATAACGTGGATTCTGTCCTACAGATGAGACCGTAAAAAACCGTGGTCCTGTTTTGCAGTAGGTGTTGTCACAAAAAAGATACATCAATGCTCAGTGGCCCAGAGTGCTGAGAATAGGTATATTTGACATGTTTGAAGTCCGCCATCAGCAAATGATGGTGTCTCCATACGAGTAAAAATTCTTAAGAGGGACATCAGACAACAAACAAACATAGATTTAATATGTTTAATAAACGGAATATAAACATGCAGTAGCTGTTAATTTACAACTAAATACAAAAAACATAATTTTACAGTCTTCTGGAAAAAAAAAGAATTTATTATCAGGACTATGGATAGACCTCACTTACAGGCTGGCTGTGTACTTGTTTCTAAATAAAAGCCTATAGTGAGTAAATTGGGTTGTTTTTAATTACTTAAGAATATATTTTTTTCGTTTTATTTCATTTGGGAGATCAGCAGGTAAAATAAGACGTCAAAGCTTACAGGGAGCTTTATTACGGCTGGATGGTACATATAACATAAAAATTCTACTTTTCCCCATCCAATTCAGGAAATGGCATCCATCCTATTGTCAGTGCTGCCAGGGAAAAAAAAAGAACTGGTATGTCGTTGCATTTGTGTTTTTTTAAATAATAGAAAGTACTGTAGATCACTAAATTTTAGCGACACTTTATTTTCGCGAGATAGTCAATGACTCTTGATTAGCGAGACAAAATTTTCGCGAATTGTGGATATTGCCCTATATATTCTTAAGGGATACTATTATACGCAAGAATTAAATTTTCACGAGCACACTGTCTCGCGTAATTACGCGAAAATAAAGTTCTCGCGAATAAAAAGTGATTTACAGTACTCATAAATTATACTAAAGCAATACTTCAATGCTTCCAATTTTAATTCTTAAAAAAATGTATTTCCTTTTATTATCACTAGGTGTATTACAACCTAAGACAAAGTGTTGAGATGTTTGGCAGTCCTATACATTCACAGAGAAAATGGTCTGATGGAAATATGGGGCAACATTCAGCCTGTACACGCACAGACTAGTTATGCTCATCCTTGGAAAATTCTCTAATAGAAGAAATACATTAATCTTGTATGCAGTATCTTCAGGCTTTTTCACAAAGAAGAAGGTATGGTTTGTATACAAATTTTGCCCTGTGATTTTCTAAAAAATGAAACTGGTGTAAAAGTTGAAAACTCATGCTTTTTAGATAATTGAAATTCAATGCAGAAAAATCATACAAGTAATTTTTCTCACATGTTTTTTAAAATGCTAATATATGACGTCATAAACATGTGCATTTTCCCGTATTTTCTTAAAAAGTTGCAGAAGACACCAATTTTCATTGGAATTTTCTTTCAGATAACATTGTCCACAGGCATGGCCCACAAAGATCTTGAGAAATGTGATTTGTTATTGAATTTTGTACAAAGTATCAAAAAATTAACGTGGGCGACGGCTGTGGACACTGTTTTCTAAAGGAAAATCACCCTTGAAATGTGCCATTTTGAGGCTATTTCTGTTGAAAATAGAGAAATGCTTCACATTAATGATGTCATATTTGCAGAATGGTTAACCTTCATGCCATATTCTTTCCTGATTTATCAGAGTCATTTATTTAACTAATATTTAAGTCAGTTTCAAAACTTTTTGATGTCATTAAATTTTTAGGGCACAATAAAGCTAAAACCATACCTTCTTCTTTACAATTACAATAGTAAGGATTCCATTTTAATTTGAAAAATAGATTAATTTTATAAATTAAAAATATTTAAAGACAGTTTAATTTATCAAAAAACAAGTACACTCATGATATTGCTATTTACTCTATACTAATTGCTACTTATTCTTATTTGAAGGGATTACACCAAAAACTGAAAGAGAAAAGAAGTTGATGTACTCAAACAATCCCTAGCAAGAGAAATTAATTTATGAAATGAAAGAATGCACACTTAACATGTTAAAATTTGTTTGTGCAAAAATTGACATTGAAAGGAATTTACTGTATTTGTACTTAAAATAGCGGGCTTCACATTTTAGCTGCTTTTGCGCAGACGAGGATGCGTTAATTCATGAATACCACTAAGAAGTCATTTATAAATAGAATATATGACACAAATATTTGTAGCGCTAATTCATGATTATGCCAACAACTCCATATCCATTGACTGCGCTAAATTTTGAAAATGCCAAATTATGTACATGTACAGTATCTTTCCAAAGCTTGAACTTTTCTCCGTTAAGGATTTTGCTTATTTTATTCATGGCAGTAAATAAATAAAACAATAAAGATTGTATTAAATATTTATACATATTTATTCCTTTCATACTTAAATTTGAGCATGCAGGTACAATGTTCTTGGAAACCCATGTTCGTGGATTTGACGAGTCTCTCTTGCCCATGGATTTTGTTAACATATTGATTGAATGTACATTATTAATGAGTTATAATTTACAAAATTACATACCCATGAACATTTTTTCTTGTCCATGAACATTAAACCCCACAAATTAACATGATTAATAAAAACATTCCAAAGAATTCATAATACATGTACAATCATTTTTAATTCTTTTTCAAAGCAAGCAAAAAGAATTTTTTTTAAATTTTTTTCTAAAAATTAAATGTGTCAAAAATTCTTAAAACTATGTACTTGTGTTCTGAAATTTAAAAAGTAATAATTGTACATCTTCTAAGCACATCTCGCTTAATAGCCTAATCATGCTAATAGTTTCTACAATATGTACCAATATGAGAAAGAATCATTCGGATAGAGTCTTCAACAGCTAAAATGCCTGCATTGAATTTTTCATCTCTTTGATAAAGAATATGGCTGATCTTAAAGAAACTTCACAGTGACGGCTAGTTATCATTGGGGATACTGGTCTAAACTTCACGAAGCACACTTTAGTTCACAACTCTTGAGGAACAGCTCAGTCTTTGTACATACTTCCTGTCTTGACTGCAGCCACGGAGCTGTTGGACTTGTATTGCTGGAGTTTTCAATTCCAAAACTGGATGTTAAGTTTACTGCATCCTTTTTTAGTCTACTCTTGCTCTCCTGTAAACAAGGAACTGTGCAAATATTATTTTTGTTTTGTAATTGTATTGAGTATAAGTAGAATATTATAAAATCAATATTTACCCAGGGAAAACCAAAGACCCTACTCGTACTTATCAAGCGGGGAAATATAGCTCATTATTTCTGGTGTTGAAATTTACACGATTTAATATAATAAAATTTAACATTGATATTAAATTATAAATTGCATTACTAATTCCATTTGTTAATAAATCAAGTAAATTATATGGGGACATATGATAAACACATCATACACTCTATTTGTACATTTTTATAAGAAAACTGCTGCTGTACATTAAATTCATCAGATTTAAACCTATTACATTTACCAGTGTTATGTCTGTCTGTTTAACAACAAAATCACAAAGCAACAAAAGCTCTAGACATTTTAATTAGATTTCAAACTTTTGAAATAATATATTAAATAATATTGCCATGTGTCAAGCTATTAAGACACTATTAATATAAATAATTCAAATGTCTTTTGACGAAAAAAAAAAATAAAGAGGGAGTTCACTTTTTTTCAATTTAAGACAAAGTTAAAAACTCACCAAGTCAATGTGTATTATACTGTATATAGTAACTCATTTTTCTGTTAAATCTATATGATTTAATGACATATATTTCGTAAGATACTAATTAAAATTAATCAAAATCAATATTTTACCAAAAATCTAATCCTTAATATCGCCGACTCTGAAATTCTGGCGACAAGCGACATCGTGTTTACCAAGCTTCCATAATCAGCTGATCATCTTCATGACCGATTTAGCGTCACTTTTCGTCTCAAACAAATGTCTAGATCTGAAAATAATGAGTGTCCACAACCTCTACAACATCCTGGCACACCACAGAGAGTTGGCATTCGTTACAAATTAATTAATTTGGAGGTACATGTCCAGGAGAAACCACAGTGTCTCGCCACGCTACCATTTGTTTACACCCAGTCAAGCGCTTGACAAATTCAAACGTTTGCGTAACCACCTCTAATACCGCAGCGCCACCCGACGGTTAATGACGTGAATGGATACTATTGACCACAATTTCAAGAATCCTTGCATTATTTCCCGATCACACCTAGCTCGACTTCTCGTCAGCCATCAACATGACATGGTGCAGCACCAAGGAAGACACTTTACGGAGGGAGCTGTGACAAGTGCTGGTTATTGGATTGTTGGCTGTAAGAAACTAGTGTCATCTGTGATTTACAACTGCGTAATATGCCGCAAGTTGCGTGGACGTTTAGAGCATCAGAAGATGGCAGATCTACCATCCGTACGAGTTCGTCAGTCTCCACCGTTCACCTATGTGGGTGTTGATATGTTTGGTCAATGGGAGGTGGTGACAAGAAAGACACGTGGAGGAAGTGCCAATAGCAAGCGGTGGGCAATACTGTTTACCTGCCTGTCCTCCAGAGCTTCCCATATTGAGGTGGTAGAAGATATGTCTTCATCGGCCTTCATCAACGCCCTTCGCCGCTTTATTGCCATTAGAGGACGTGTTGCAGAATTTAGGTCTGACAGAGGCACTAATTTCGTTGGAAGCACAGATACGTTGGGAATCAGTGCAGTGAATGTAGAAGACCCAACCTTCAAAAACTTCTTGACCAAGAATGGCTGCAGTTGGATTTTCAACGCCCCCCACTCTTCCCATATGGGTGGTGTTTGGGAAAGAGTTATTGGACTTGCAAGACGAATTCTTGATGCCATTCTCCTAAAGCAGCCGAAGCGTCAACTTACCCATGATGTCCTTGTAACGTTGATGGCGAAAGTTACAGCAATACTCAACAACAGACCATTGGTTCCTGTTTCGATGGACCCACACAACCCATTGGTACTTACCCCTAATATGTTGCTCACTCAGAAGAGTGAAGCAGATGTTCCACCCTTTCAGGAACTTGACATAAGAGACATGTATGTTTCCAGCTGGAAACATGTACAGGTTATAGCACAGCAGTTTTGGAAACGGTGGCACAGTGAATATTTGCAACTTCTTCAGCAAAGGAGAAAGTGGACAGATTCTAAGGACAATCTACAGGTTGATGATGTTGTTCTGCTTCGAGAGAAGGAAGCTCATCGCAATGATTGGAGTATGGGTGTTATCAATCGAACATTCCCTGATGATGATGGCAAGGTCCGAAAGATTGTTTTTATGTACTGCTTCCGTTTAAACTACCGGTAAACTTTCAACAGTTGTTCATTTTTAGGTCACCTGAGTCACTCAGTAATCAGTAATACTACTGATTATTGCTGAATATTACTGATTAGTTAAAATGTATTTTTTGTCCCCCTATCCTGTCTATGGGTATTAAGTAACCAAACTAAGCAATTGCTAAGTGTATAGTTATTGATGTTCGCACCAACAGAGGAGGACAACTCGTTCATTATGTGAGGCCGATTACAGAGGTTGTTCTTCTAGTCCCACATCGGTGATGGAAAGACTTGTTCACCCCCACTAATGTTATTGTGATTTAAATTCAAGACACGTGGTTTAGGTTGATCTATTCAAAGGTTATAGGGTAGAACCGGTTTTATAAATAAAATTGGCAGTAAACATGATATTGCTATAGTCTGTTTCTTGTGAAAACATGTCCTGTAATTAACGTTTCCAGACTTTTCTGAAAGACTTACATGATGTTCAACAGAAAAAGGGTGGCTAAAGGAGGGAATGTTAAATTAACAATATATCTTATACTTTTCGACGAAAATTAGAGCTCACTAGTGACCGTTTCGCTGGTAAAAAATGTGCATTATCATCTACACTGACAAACCTTTGTTTGCCTTATATGGCTATTGTTATAAATGCGCACAGATGATCTTACCACGAGCAACTGACCAATCGTTGAATGATTATGAATAGCAACGTTAATACTAGTACATGTTTACATTTTACTTCGAACACGTAGTTCAGGTCAATCTACGATCAAATAAATGGACTGCAAAATAACAAAAAATGTTCCTACGAACAAAATACAAAGATAAGAAACTATGAAAGATGTTACGGGCGTTTTTATTTTGTTGTTAAATGGGAAAAAAATGTTTAATAAAATGTAGTTTGTGTCTAGTTCAGAACACCAGCGCTTCAAGGGTAAGGAAAATGAGCAGCATCTGCATTTAAATGGACAAAACTTTGTTTACGTCCGTGATCACGTGTTCAGCCAGGGAATTCACCTGGCAATTGTATTCACCGATAGTACAACAAAGGAATTAATACAGACGCAAATCGCTCTTGCAGTATGACTTTCAGAAACCTAGACTTCCGCCGTTTATTTAACAAATGTTTGTCATTATGAGCATGAAAATGATATTTTTAAAAATGCTTTTGATTTAGTTTCACCATAAGATTTTCCTTTTTTTTCAAGCGTAAAATTCCTGTAGTATTCATAGTAACCCATAATGCAATACTCATTCAGCTGATTGGTCAGTTAAAATCACGCTGGTGCCTCATTTGCTGATCTGACGCCAAAAAATATAGTCCCGGTTCCCATGCAAAGATATTTGTCCAAAGAGAAATTTTAATTAATGACTGCAGAAAATTGTATTATAGAGAGTTCTTATTTAAGTTTGAATGAATGTAAGAGAGATCGATTGATTAAAGTACATTTCTACAGACATTATCAGCTGATTCTAGGGTGGTGAAAACTGAAACGCAACATAACTTTCCTGTTTACCATGCCTCCACGTGCAAGTCACTTCCTAGCCACATTTCCGTGAATAATTTACCCTATCTCGCTGAAGTCTCGCTAACTCTCGCCAGAGCCACTGCTAGAGCTACTCTGAACTCATCGGGTTTTATAATTTGCAGAACACCGAAAAATAAAAGGTTCCGAACACATTAGTAGGGGTGTTGTTTTGTGGAAGGTGTAGTGTAGTGACTGGCGTCAGGCGGGGAGTGTTCTGACACTTTCCGGATTTTTGCGTTCCGTATTTTAGTTTTTTGGTTTATACGCACTTAGGTAACGTTGCGTATACGATTAGCAGAATGGCATGGCTGCTCACGGTTTTGGCCGTCCTTTCCTTGTAACTGTTTAATTGCAACCGAGTGCGTGTTCCCATGGTGTAAGTAAATGTTGCTTGTGTTTTGTGTATATTGTGTATGCTCTCTATTCGGTCATAATTAATTTGTATAACAAGTTCTGTAATGTTTACATTATTTCCGGTGATGAAATTCGGACGTGCACTATCATTTCATAAATAGCCTAAGTCAGAATGCATGTATGTAAGATTATTCAGATATATGTAAGCAATTACGATGTTATCATTATGATGTGTTATTTGTTTATTTTCAGTATTTTACCCTTTCATGTCTTGCTATAAATAAACAGAAAACTGTTTATTGTTTTATTCATTGGACCTGGCAAGATAAGGGTTACGTCTCTGCCCGTGTTCATGTGGCAGTGAGGCAAATTATTGAGCCATATGAGGAATCAAATCCACTGCAATACTGGAAGGAAAATGCAGACAGATTTCCTATTCTTGCAAAACTTGCCAAAAAAGCCTCAATGTACCAGCTTCTTCTGCACCAGTTGAACGGCTTTCTAGTATTGCTGGGAAAATCTTCTGACCAGATAGATGTAGACTTAGTGACTGTACAATTTAAATGCTAATGATGATAAAGTGTAATGAAAAAGCTTGTAAATAAGTATTGAAATCAGAATAAAGATTACTTTAAAAAATACATACTAGTGTCTTACTTAACCATTTTAACTTTAAAAAATAAACTTATAATAAAAAAATATAATTTAATCTAAAGTAATCACAAGTAATCATGATAATATTACAAGAGAGAATAGTAATCTAATGTAATCCATTACTTTTAAAAATAGCAGTAATCAGCCTGTAATTGATTACTTTTAAAATCCAAAGTAATTGTAATTTAATCGATTACTTTTGAAAGTAATTGACCCCTACCCAGGTTGTCATGTATAAAGAAATTTGGTTGTGAATGCAAAACACCACCTCTTTACAAATGAGGATTTTCAGGTTCAGAGGTTTATTTTCCTTTCTTTTTCAAAAACTTTTAGATAATTCATACAAGTATTTTTCCCAACCTTAAAAACCACAATCCACCCTGTATCATATTGAGTTATACATAATTAACTGCATATATACATGTTAAACTTAACACATAATAAATCTTTTTTTCTTCAACCCCTCTACAAACCCCCAACCCCACCCCCTTTTTAAAAAATTCTAGATCCGCCTGGGTCCTAGTGATTATGTTAAATCAAATACTGTATGTTACCGGCCCCTGTGAGCAAAATGTATTTAAAAACTTCTAAATGAGAGGGAAAAAAGATTTATCAGTTAACAAAACCATCTATTCAAGTGTCATATTTCTACTCGATGAAATTGAAATAGAAACTACCTCATTTGTTTCTTATTATATTGACGGCAAGGACCAGTTAGCAAATAATTACGTTTAAATTGTGGAAGGAAATAATTGTATGTAATTCCAGCTGGAAACATGTACAGGTTATAGCACAGCAGTTTTGGAAACGGTGGCACAGTGAATATTTGCAACTTCTTCAGCAAAGGAGAAAGTGGACAGATTCTAAGGACAATCTACAGGTTGATGATGTTGTTCTGCTTCGAGAGAAGGAAGCTCATCGCAATGATTGGAGTATGGGTGTTATCAATCGAACATTCCCTGATGATGATGGCAAGGTCCGAAAGATTGTTTTTATGTACTGCTTCCGTTTAAACTACCGGTAAACTTTCAACAGTTGTTCATTTTTAGGTCACCTGAGTCACTCAGTAATCAGTAATACTACTGATTATTGCTGAATATTACTGATTAGTTAAAATGCTTTTTCCCTCTACCCTGCCTATGGGTATTAAGTAACCAAACTAAGCAATTGCTAAGTGTATAGTTATTGATGTTCGCACCAACAGAGGAGGACAACTCGTTCATTATGTGAGGCCGATTACAGAGGTTGTTCTTCTAGTCCCACATCGGTGATGGAAAGACTTGTTTTGTGGAAGGTGTAGTGTAGTGACTGGCGTCAGGCGGGGAGTGTTCTGACACTTTCCGGATTTTTGCGTTCCGTATTTAAGTTTTTTGGATTATACGCACTTAGGTAACGTTGCGTATACGATTAGCAGAATGGCATGGCTGCTCACGGTTTTGGCCGTCCTTTCCTTGTAACTGTTTAATTGCAACCGAGTGCGTGTTCCCATGGTGTAAGTAAATGTTGCTTGTGTTTTGTGTATATTGTGTATGCTCTCTATTCGGTCATAATTAATTTGTATAACAAGTTCTGTAATGTTTACATTATTTCCGGTGATGAAATTCGGACGTGCACTATCATTTCATAAATAGCCTAAGTCAGAATGCATGTATGTAAGATTATTCAGATATATGTAAGCAATTACGATGTTATCATTATGAGCATATTGTAATGTGTTATTTGTTTATTTTCAGTATTTTACCCTTTCATGTCTTGCTATAAATAAACAGAAAACTGTTTATTGTTTTATTCATTGGACCTGGCAAGATAAGGGTTACGTCTCTGCCCGTGTTCATGTGGCAGTGAGGCAAATTATTGAGCCATATGAGGAATCAAATCCACTGCAATACTGGAAGGAAAATGCAGACAGATTTCCTATTCTTGCAAAACTTGCCAAAAAAAGCCTCAATGTACCAGCTTCTTCTGCACCAGTTGAACGGCTTTCTAGTATTGCTGGGAAAATCTTCTGACCAGATAGATGTAGACTTAGTGACTGTACAATTTAAATGCTAATGATGATAAAGTGTAATGAAAAAGCTTGTAAATAAGTATTGAAATCAGAATAAAGATTACTTTAAAAAATACATACTAGTGTCTTACTTAACCATTTTAACTTTAAAAAATAAACTTATAATAAAAAAATATAATTTAATCTAAAGTAATCACAAGTAATCATGATAATATTACAAGAGAGAATAGTAATCTAATGTAATCCATTACTTTTAAAAATAGCAGTAATCAGCCTGTAATTGATTACTTTTAAAATCCAAAGTAATTGTAATTTAATCGATTACTTTTGAAAGTAATTGACCCCTACCCAGGTTGTCATGTATAAAGAAATTTGGTTGTGAATGCAAAACACCACCTCTTTACAAATGAGGATTTTCAGGTTCAGAGGTTTATTTTCCTTTCTTTTTCAAAAACTTTTAGATAATTCATACAAGTATTTTTCCCAACCTTAAAAACCACAATCCACCCTGTATCATATTGAGTTATACATAATTAACTGCATATATACATGTTAAACTTAACACATAATAAATCTTTTTTTCTTCAACCCCTCTACAAACCCCCAACCCCACCCCCTTTTTAAAAAATTCTAGATCCGCCTGGGTCCTAGTGATTATGTTAAATCAAATACTGTATGTTACCGGCCCCTGTGAGCAAAATGTATTTAAAAACTTCTAAATGAGAGGGAAAAAAGATTTATCAGTTAACAAAACCATCTATTCAAGTGTCATATTTCTACTCGATGAAATTGAAATAGAAACTACCTCATTTGTTTCTTATTATATTGACGGCAAGGACCAGTTAGCAAATAATTACGTTTAAATTGTGGAAGGAAATAATTGGCCATTATATAGGCCTATAACGGCTTGTTATCTTTCAGTCAAAATTTGCAAAGTACAGGTAAATTTTAAAAAATATTTGTTTCCCCAAGGAAACTAGGTATATTAAAAATGGAGGACTATTATATTAGCTGTGGTATTTGAATTTTTAAGTAATATCAGAGGTATGTTTTTCTATATACAAAATGTATTGCTAAATGTTAACATCTTTGGATTTTGTCATATTTAAAGCTACGATTTTATTTTGAACACACCGGTACCTATATGAAAATGCTAGGTGTTCCCAATAGGTGTGTACAATTCATCAAACTGACACACCTTTTTGCATTATTACCTAATTTTATTAGCTCATTTGAAATGAAAGCTTAATTGAGCTCTTCTGATCAATTTTGTCTGTCTAGCTGTCCGTCTGTAAATTTTTCAATTTTTTTACTTATTTTCCAGAAACTCCGGGCCAATTTTAATCAAATTTACTACAAATTATCCTTGGGTGAAGGACCACGCCCTATTTCAAGGAGAGGTAATTCAGAAATACTGCAGTAGTGAAAATATGGTGGTATGTTTTAAGTATCTTCTCAAGAGCCACTGGGTCTAAGCGTTGAATCTTATATGAATCATTCTTTACATGTGTAGATTTTAATTTGTTCAAATGATGACCCTAAGGGGTAGGGTGGGTCACAATCAGGGTTCAAAGGAATATATCGGGAAAAAATCTTTCCAAGAACAGCAAGGCGGGGTTTAGCCAAAGTAAGGTGGGGCCACAATGGGAGATGTAGGAAGGAAAAGATGTTCTCAAGAACAGAAAAGCCACGTATGCGTATATTGATAAGAAATATCGTAAAATTCAAACGCTCCCATAAACTTTACATTACTAAACCGATTTGTGCTTATTTTCTAAGAAAACGGTTGTTGAACGGATGATATTATATTATAAAAAGAATTTAATTGTATGAAACCAATTTAGATAAGGAAGGAAATCATACAATTAATGAAAATTTATTTTGCAGGTCATTTAGCTCCCCCCTTTTTTTGCAATTGATAATTATGAATTAGAGAAAAATTAATGGCATTTTTAAAGAATCTTCTTCTCAAGAACCGCTGGGCCAGGAAAGATGAAACTCATGTGGAATCAACCCCAGGTAGTGTAGATTCAAATTTGTTCAAATCATGAACCCCAGGGGTAGGGTGGGGCCAAAATGGCCGATCAAAGTTTTACATAGGAATATATAGGAAAAATCTTTAAAATTCTTCTTCTCAAGATCCATAGGAACAGGAAAGATGAAACTCATGTGGAATCATTCTCGGGTAGTTTACATTCAAATTTGTTCAAATCATGATCCTTGGGGCTAGGGTGGGGCCATAATTGCCGTGAAAAGTTTTACATAGGAATATATAGGAACAAGAGGCCCATGGGCCACATCGCTCACCTGAGAAGCTTTGACCATTCTGTTCTTTACCAGCAGGCATGTTCATGAAACTTTCCTAAGATTTGTCCTAAGACCATTCCTAAGATATGACTTAGGAAGAAATTTAGGAACATCCTAAGACCAACTTAGGACATATCATAAGATGTATCTCGACATTGACTTAGGAAGATCTTAAGTTAGGACATCCTAACTTACAATGAACACTTGTTTCTGAAACATAAATTTATCCATAGATAATTTTGGAGACATTTTACGGGAAAGAAATTACATAACATAAAAAAGAAAATCCGATTACATGTCCATGTGACCTCAGTATATTTTAATGTTAGCATTTTTTGATTTTACAAAGCATTTTATACCGCTTGTAAATCGCATTGAAACATTTAACAATTGTAGCTAAGATATATAGTTTTAAAAATCATAAACTCTCAGTGATCTACCTTGATGACGATTATGATATATTTACATTTCCAATGTCTTTGTCCGAGATAAAATTACCAATTGTAAATGTAATTTATTTCCTCATGAATGTTTTGGCGCGGTTCCAAAAAAAAAACACGTGCAGGGCGAGACAACACATAGAGAGAAGCAGGCTTGGAGCCCGTGGATTGGCGGAATCAAAGCATGTAAATATAAGGAATAACTGTCAGATTTTTCGAATTCATGAAGATGATCAATGGATTGGCTTGTGTGATAATTTTATGCATAAACGCCTTCGGCGTTTATGCAAATTATCACACAAGCCAATCCATTGATCACTTCATGAATTCGAAAAATAAGACAGTTATTCCTTAAATAAAGTCTTATGAAAGTTTACTTTATTTTTGATAAAGAAGCTGATTCAAAATAAAATGAATTTTGTAGGACACGAAAAAAAGTATTAAATCAGGAAAATCACTAATTTGAAGCCAAAATTGTATTCTTGAATATTAAAAGTCTCAATAGTTTGAATATTTGATTGGGAAGTTTTTAAAAATTTTTACGTTCTCCCAACCGATTTATAAAAAATTAGAGCATGTCAATTGTTTCATTGTCTCATAATAGCACGTAGTAGGCTAGCAGATCGAGAAGAGGGGGTGGCGGGCTGGCCCCTCCTTATTTTTCGAAGACAGGATTATTGCTATTAATCTATGATGGAAGTTTTGATAAATGACGAATATGTACGAGTATATCGAAAGAGGGGGTATTTGTTTCTATATTCATACAATGTATTAATATGAAAATTTAAAAATAAGAATGGGTGGGGTGGCGGTCATAATACAACGTATGAGATGAATGTCTTTGACAGTGACATAACAACGGCCATGAAATGGGGGGGGCGATTAAAAAAAATCAACTTACCTGAGAAAACATGACAATCAAAAAAAAAAGGGGAAGGAATATTGTCCAAACTTGAAAATCCTATTTTGGAGAGAGATAGAGAGGACGGGATCTATGTTTAAATTTCTTTCATAACCCTTTTTTCCTTCAAACGTTACCCTCATTGTAATAACCTTGTTTGTCTTCAGTTACTTTGTATTTGATACGGAATGAGCAGATCGACTGATAATAAAAGCCCCCCCCCCTTACACTTCATCGCCCGAAGAACGTTGTATTATATTTCTCCAACCAATACCGAAAATATTCATTATAATAATATCCAAAATTTGTATTAGGTATCCGAAACAGCACATTCGAAATTTATAGCATATATGAAAAGAGGCCTATGGGTAACCTTTCTTGTTTAATTATTTCTGTAGATCATCAGCTCATAAACGGACTGCTGAGAAAGAAGAAATTGTAGCTTATACTTGCAATGTCCAAAATCATAAGCATCAAAACAAACTTAGGATGATCTTAGGACAGGTATTGTTCGTCCTAAAGTTAGGAAAAACTTAGGAAAGTTCCTAAATTTAGGAAAGCTTCGAGAAACTGACTTAAGACTAGGACATTTCCTAAGACGTTCTTAGGACACACCGTAGTCCTAAGATAGCTTCGTGAATATGCCTGCAGATTTCCCCCTTTTAATACATATTGCGACCTCACTCTACCCCACTGATCATAATTTAGACATTTTGACATAATTTAAACATTCCTATATATTTCTATGTAAAACTTTGATTCCGCTTTGTGGCCCCGCCCTACCCGGGGGGGGGGGGGGGGGGGCATGATTTGAACAATTTAGAATCTACACTACCCTAGGATGCTTCCACACAAGTTTCAGCTTTTCTGGCCGATTGGTTCTTGAGAAGAAGATTTTCAAAGATTTTTCCTATATATTTCTATGTAAAACTTTGATTCCCCATTGTGGCCCCGTCCTACCCCTGGGGGTCATGATTTGAACAATTTAGAATCTACACTACCCCAGGACGCTTCCACTTAAGCTTAAACTTTTCTAGCCTAGTGGTTCTTGAGAAGAAGATTTTCAAAGATTTTTCCTATATATTTCTTTGTAAAATTTTGATTCCCAATTGTGGCCCCGCCCTACCCCCGGGGGTCATGATTTGAACAATTTAGAATCTACACTACCCCAGAATGCTTCCACACAAGTTTCAGCTTTTCTGGCCCAGTGGTTCTTGAGAAGAAGATTTTTTAATGACCCGACCCTATTTTGTCTTTTCTTGATTATCTCCCCTTGTGAGGAGACTTGGCCCTTCATTTTATGAATTTAAATTTCCCTTCATCCAAGGATGCTTTGTACCAAGTTTGGTCAAAATTGACCCAGTGGTTCTTGAGAAGAAGTCGAAAATGTGAAAAGTTTACAGACGGACAGACAGACGGACGACGGACAAAATGTGATCAGAAAAGCTCACTCAGGTGAGCTAAAAATCTTCTTCTCAAGAACCACTGGGCCAGGAAAGATGAAACTCATGTGGAATCATCCTCAGGTAGTGTACATTCAAATTTGTTCAAATCATGACCCCTGGGGGCAGGGTGGGCACAGTATGGCCGATCAAAGTTTTACATAGGAATATATAGGAAAAATCTTTAAAAATCTTCTTAAGAACCATTGAGACAGGAAAGATGAAACTCCTGTGAAATTATCCTCAGGTAGTGTAGATTCAAGTTTGTTCAAATCATGACCCCCGGGCCAAAATGGCCGACCGAAGTTTTACATAGGAATATATAGTGAAACCTTTTAAAATCTTCTTTTCAAGTACTTCAAAGCCATGATTAGTAATATTTATATGGAATCATCCTCAGGTAGTGTAGATTCTAGTTCGTTCAAATCATGATCCCCTGGGGGGTTAAAATTCAACCCCCCTCCCCCAACCTCAGTAAACTTTCAGTTCTGATCTGATATGTGCTTTTTCCTAGCCGATGTGCTCAGATGAGCGCTGTGGCCCCTGGGCCTCTTGTTTGGGGGTTGGGATTTTTTTTCTCTTCTACCCCCCCCCTCCCACTATCAATTTGCTTATGACGCCATTCAGCTCACTAAATGATACCTCCCGCCCCCCATTTGGTTATTATGGCAAAGTCAATGTTTTGCTGTGGCCGGGAAACCCAAAATGTGTGTCAGATCAAAAAATAAAATAGGAGTTGCACAATGGCAATATGTAATAAAGATTCTGTGAAAGTTTCGTTGAATCTCACTCAGGGTATAAGACGAGTTGCGGATAAGAGATGGGTACCCCAATGCGTAACAGACAGACGGACGGACGGAGGGACTTTTCAAGCGGGGGGTATAAAAATCGTTGTGTTATTATACCCCCCCCCCATGTCAGTAAATACAATATATTATTGAGTAAATGCTGACTGACGTTTTTATACTAATTCTTAGTCCATTCAATATTTAAACACTGAATTGACGACAGAATTTTCCGTTATTTCCCGATCATGACAAGGAGCGCACTGCGGGTGTGGCCGGTCGGTAAGGGATGCTCACTCCTCCATGGCACATGATCGCACCTCTAATGTTTTGGAGGTTCGTGTTTGCTCTGCTCCTATTTAGTCAGCCCCCGGGCTGACTAGTTACGTTAGGATGAAATTGCAAGTGCGCTTGCGTTAAACGGAATTCTGGGAAAAAGATTTGCACAATTTTCTCCAAGCAGAGGGCGTGCTTTTTCACGCACACTCACGACCTCGATCTATTTATAGACTGCATTGTTCTTCG